AGACTTCTGCTGGGTACTAGTGATAGCATGTTCATTTAGGTTAGGTCGTGCCGCGTATGCAGGGCAAGGTAGATATGTCCTAGCAAACATGCACTAAATATTTTATTGACAGCCTATCCCGAAAATCTACGTACTATTACCTTCGCAGCGATACGAAGCGTAGTAATATTCGCTCAACCGAGGCGCAAATTGAGCGTGCTCATAGTCTTTGGCTACCCTCTTCTCTATCATCAGACAGCTTTACCACTCGATTTTTCATCGCTTCTTTGATAGAATAGTTATAGGATGACACAAAGTAACTGGCTGCGAAGCAGAACTATCGTTAGCCGTGTACAAAGCCATACCGTGATCAATGTATGTTTCCTTAACAGGACTAACTATCCTTTATTTGGCGTTTCCTGAACAGGAGCAGCAATGTCAAATAGCAGCAGAGAACAAACACCATAGGAACTTCGCGATTTTCGCATATAGCAACAGTATCGTTACGTAGCATATAAGCAGAGTGAATGTGCATTGTTATCTAAGTCAGTACACTTTGCCGCAAACAGATCCATCCATAAGACCACGGCATCTGAAGCAGACAAGCAAGTGCGCTATTTCAATGCGATACGAAGCAGCTAGGAAACTTCAATGTAACATTTCTATATTGTTGGGCTGGCCCGAGCGCGTGCCACCCCTGCTATTACATAACAATACAAATTCTACCACTTGAATTTTCTCAACAGGAACGATATTGCTACTTGAACAGTTAACCTCAGCCAAGCTTCCTTCAACAGAGATAAGCATTGGCTTTTTTCACGTAGGCTTGCGAAGCTGAATAATAATGGAGTGGCTAATTCCAATATCTACCGTACCGTGCGTTGGCAGACGACGTAGCCATTATTCGACCCTCTCTCAACAGTGTTAACGTACAAAATGCTATAGTTTTATATTATATGATAGCTGCTTCATTAGCTAAAATATCATCATCGTAGGTTCGAATTTGCTTAGTCACCTTTTTTTTTTTTGTTTCACTATCCTGCCCAGGTACCGTCAGAGTAGGTCTTAAAACGCCGCGACGCAGACTATACGCAGAAACGTCTATGATCAGAATCTCTACTTCTATTGGAACTCAAATAAGGAATTCTACATATTTTGCAGTAATTTCAATTGAATGTTGGATGGAAATGGAGAGCACAGCTCTATTGATACAGGCTTATGATTTTACTAAGAAAAAAAAATGAAAAGATGATCATTAATTGAAATCGCGCATATTTAGTGCAGTAACATTATTTTGAAATTTAAAAAAAAATGCTTTAGTATCGGCTAAAAACAGCTAACACTTCTTCGACAACCCAGTATGAGGAAGGATCTACATGCATAACTTTAGCAAGAACCGGTTATATAATAATATATCTTCATGTTGAAACGTTTATATATAGTCCTCTTGTGAGACAAACTTTTTTTTAGAGACAATCGAATGGCGTATTATTTACATTGATATATAAAACTTTTGTACTTTGTTTGTTAACACCATTTCTACAATCGGGTGATTTAGATACTTTTATCTATGCTAATAACCCACCACTGTCCTTAACAATTAACCTGGCTTTGCAATCGAAAACCTTGAAACTTTGAAATCGTTGAATATGCACCATGATAATATATAACAATTGACGAAAACATATTTTTATCACGGTATTTTTAGATAGGGCCAGCGGTGTTCATATCTGGGCAGTCGGGGCTATGGCTGAAAGTATTCGAGTAAACTCTCGCAAGCAGAAGGGACTTTTACGGAACACCTGCCTCTAAGAATGGCTATAGGCTGTCAATTTTATGTAGCTCCCAATAGTTTACCTAAAAATTTGCCTAGTATAACCCTATTGCCTGACCCACTTCGTTTGGCCTGTTCGTAAAGCTGTTAGCCGTAACGGCGGACGCCGCTTAAAAGATCAGACTGTCCGCCATAGATCCTCTTTATTCTCCAGGATATTTTAAAATCCAACGTTCAAACAATATCAGTAATGATAATTAGTAGACTGCAGGCAATAGCTATTCGCAGCGGCGTGCTACGGAACGGCATTACCCACGTCAACTCATAGCGTTCGTTGAAATCTCGGCCTGTCCTCTGATCATTTTCTATAGCATATCCTACATGTCTGAGTGTCCCTAGCAGGTGTTTAAAATATGGCGCGAAAAGTTGTAAATTGATAATATAGGGCATAATAATTTAGATGAATATAGAAAAACCTTCAGCCTAAGCGAAACTCAATATGCTATTTACGCTTATAGTGATGAATATAATAACAGATTCAGTTCCATGGTGTACAAATGGTAGATCGACAGTACGAGATGCTAGATACTATGAGTGAAATCTAGTACACGAAATAAAAAATATATAAAAACTATCGATTGAAAATTAAGCACAATAGAAGGTAGACTGAAATTGCGTTATTAAGATCATCTCGATTTTCGAATAGAACGGCAGTAGAACTGCGGATAGCTGTTGAGCTAGAATCGTTGTAAACTTCAGCCGAAGTTTGACTTCAGCTGACGCAAAGATTCTATAGACGCACGGAAGATATTGCCATCAGTGTTCTCAGAGATGCCAGATATCCCACTCTTAGCCATCAAGCTGAATAGTTGTCGAGTTTTCGTTGCCGTATAAATAAACGAAATTTTCTACGCTTATTTTTTAAACCTTGGCAACGGTTTTTCTCGTTAACTGTAACTAAACTACGTCTAATCTTCCAGTCGGTTTAATTTATTGATTCGATTCGTAGTAAATATCGGTCTTTATAATGTATTCAGATCTGTCCCTTGGCGTGCCATAGATGCAGAAGTGTTCACTTGCTAAGAGCAATGTTCCAAGATTCGTTCGCAAAACCTCTAGGCCAATTAACGTAATTTGCGTTCCATTTTCAGTAACTTAACATATATACCTAAATGCTATCCAGCTCCCCTTCAGTGTAGACAGGGCTTTTGTTGGCAAATTCAATTGTCTCTAAGAGGTTCTTGTAGCAATAGTTACATCTGCGAAGTGTTGATGACCAAAGCCAGTGGGAGGCACGTGAAAACTATTGCTGAATATTACATCTAAATAATGGAAAAGTCGGAGAGTGAGATATTCGACGATCACGCTAAATTATTACTGAGACAATAGAAAACCACTTTAAAACGAACCAGTCCGAGTACAAGAAAAGCCACGGAAAAAGCGTTCCGCCAATATTCAACCAGCTGAAAATTGAAGGCCACGTAATATAATATACTTCACCATAATAACCCTTCAGCGACACTCATCATATTGAGCGCATTGAAACGCCTCAATGTTTTCGGACATTTTTACTTCACAAGTATTTCAACTTTATTAGTAAGCTAATTTCAAAGCTAAACTCCACATAGACAAGCCTCTTTACCTGTAGAGACCTCGGGGCAAAATCGCAGACCTCCGATTTAGTAGAGTGAAGGAAGAGGCTTTCAGTTATCATTGCCCTGACACACTTCTGATCATTATCTCGCAGAACCATGTAGCGACAGTTCTGTTTATCATTATTAAGCAATTCGATGAACTTCGACTGGATATCGTAATCCGCCTATTCAAGTTCTACTTCTAATATTTTTGCACTTACTATAAGTTAGGCGCTAGCATCATTACAACATTCGGTAGGCTATTACTAGATTTGGCTATATATAGACATAATTTGAATTGTTGAGATGTCGAGGCACAAGGGTTTCTGCGCAACCAGTATGTTATGTGTGGGCAAAATATTAGCTAAAAAGCAGGTTTAAGACTTTTTTATACCAAAACGTCTGAATCTATATGAATGCATGCCGCTACTGTATTACAGGACAACTGCAGACAATAAGCTATTTGCTTTCTAAACACAAATACTTTCAATGATTCTATCGATTAGACATGATTAAATCTTACCTAGAGTATGCGTGCTCCTTCTGACTGGTACGTCTGTCCTCGATTTCTACTATATCATGTAAAAGTTCGTACAAAATAGCCATAATATCCTTTTTGCTAACGTGACCACTCGTGGCAGGCAACCTTCTATAGTTGGCTTACTATAGCTAGTACATGTTAGTAGTGCTAGTTCGAAGCACCCGAAGCTCAAAGCGAGCAAAATCGTTGAATAGATCCTTGTAAACCAGAACTGGCCGATTACAATTGCAGATCAGATACAGCAAAGTGTATGGGGCCTGCTATTTAACGTTCATTTCTTACTCGCACTCTACGTTATATAGGCAGAAATTACAACAGCAGCAGCAGCAGCGGTGGCAGCATCGGCAGTAGCGATTATAGCTTACAATCAGAGTATACGACAGGCCAGTACGTAGTAAAAACAAGCTAGTGCAGCGAATAGATTGAATCAGACCCGAGGTCTACGTAGTTGACGAAATGAAACAATCTCTAACGGGAGTTCGCGACCTTAACAACGAGAACCACCTGTTGACTAACTTAACTGGCACCACCTGTGGCAAACAAAGAGCTTCTGACGCACCCGCACCTCAATGACGACTGGGAACCGATCAGCCGATGTCGACGTAACTGCGTATGATGCTTGAGAAGGTGGAAGACATAAGACGGGCTGATGAACCGCGGCTCCTTTTTGGCCTCCGTCTCAGTTTGGCAGGCCTCATCAACTACCCCACGATTAAAACGGTTGAATGAGCTCACTTGCTTAACGGTATTTCATCTCAGCTACTAGCGCCACTAGTCGTACATATTTCTGTTGTTATCTCGCAAGAAGACAAGCGTGAAGAGAAGGGCCGCATTTGAAGTGGGCAATGACATTCGACTAAATAAATGCACATGCCACCGGTAGAACAAAAAAAAAAGCTCGTTACGGTACGAACGATGGTACATCTCGGTCCATGTTTGAGAGGCATACGCGTTCTTCTAGTTTTCTCATAACTAAGAATGGGAGTAGCCTTTGCTTTCTAACTTTTTTCTGCGTACTTTATCTTTTATACGCGTGCAGATATCTGAAGTCTATCGTGCATTACTTACATACCTGTGTGTGTTGATCTTGGACGTATTAGTCTTTGTTGATTTTGTATACAATTGTTGTTTATGAGTTTGGATTTTTAGCGATACGATTTTACAGTACGTCAGAATTGTCCCGGACTGTCAGCTCTACATTGAATCAATTCTACTTGATCTTGTCCCCATTTTCGACAGAGTTTTCTTGAAAGAACACAAAAAAAAAAAAGTTTTTCCGACACAGTTCACTGTCTCATATAACGATCGCTTCTAATTTTCTTATTTTTCGTTAAACTACTCCTAGTCGACTGTCGAGCGCATTAGCCGTTAGCTGACGAAATGTAGAAGTTGCCGTCTGCAGATTCGCGCAGTGTTGTGATGACTATTACTACGGACGTTGCATCTAAGAGGCCTATTTCTCTTCAAAGGACTACGCAGACCGGATTTTGGCTGGCGTGCTTGTGGCCGCGTTTGTCGATGTCACTGTCATTTTTCTTGACGAGAACTTCTAGCAACTAGGATAGCATTGAGCACAAACACTTGAAACACCCTGGTTAAGGTTTTAGTTCTACGCGGCTGCCTTAGGCGGCAGCCTTCACAATTTTCTAACTGAAACACTGTAAAATCTATGCCTTTCGCGCGTCACGATTCAATAATAGCAGTGTCTTCATAATATTAACAAGATGTAGCTGTTGTTTAGCGTAGAAAAGCGAGAATACCTCAGAGACACTTGCGAATTCCAAGTGCCTTTATGACAGGAAATAGTAGCTAAAATTTTGAGAGTCGGCTTTATCGCTAGTGAGCGCAATTTGACTTCATTAAATAAGTGTGGTTCTCGCTTGCAAACAACTGAACCTTGAAGTTGTGAAGTTGACGAAACTTAATTTGATATGTTTGGCTCTACGAATTCAGCGTTTGCGAAAATGTAGCTTACGATTTGCACTAAAAAACGTCTGGTAGCTTTCTTCATTTTTCTAAGCACAGTTGTTTTCTCGTTGCCTTAAAGCGGTTTCTGTTTCTGGTCTCGTCGAGGTGAACTCCTGAACGGCCTCCTGCAACCTGACAGGAAGCCACAATTACTGTCAAACGTAGATCTAACAACAATAAACGTTGTAGCAGCACCATGAAGCTAACAAGTTAATTAGTAGTTGTGATGCCTCTGTTAATGTTATGAGGTTGAATTGCCCCTCGGTTAAAACTCCCTGCCACGTACGTTCGACGTTGACCGTACGAAGTTGGGCGTTGACAACCATGAATGCTATCGATGCCACCTTGCCAATGCCCCACGATAAACTAACCAGCAGCGCGTACAGCTGAACCACCTCTAAACTGCTTGTTGCTAGGCGGATAACGGCTTTAGGCTCTTGGCTCTAAGCTTTTGCACTTTTCAACGGACCTCTACCAAGCAGGCTGGCTTCTGTCCCTGGCTTTCGCCGACTTCCGTTACTTAACTGTCCACCCTGAGAGATTGGCCGTCGAGTAAGCTGTAGCTGTTCTTTCAGAGTACAAGATCATGGTACGGCTCGCACATTGCAGTATTAGCTGGAACTGGACGACTGACTTTTTAGCCACAGCAATAAAACAGTTTCCACCAAGCCTTCTTACCTCTCTGTCGATTACCACCGCGTAGGGCTGCTTGGTCAGCCCAGCAATCCGCTCGCCCTACTCCGGCTTTTACTTGCTTTCTACCGATTGGATCGCTGTTGCTTGCACTTACTTTGCCCGGCCGGACCTGGTGCCTGGCTCGGCTCGACATGGACGTACACGTTCGCTCGTTCCGCTGACAAGCGAACCGCAGCTCTGCTAGTTGATGCGCGACGTCGGTCGCCCTCTAGCAGCTGCAGCAGGCACTGTCTTATTATTGTCAGTGGCACGCAGCGGTTGCAACAACTACAGATAAGCGCAACGGCGCGTGCTACTTGTTGAAGAAAGCAGGCTCGTCGTTGTTGTAGCAGTGAAGGCTGCAGGAGGGGTAACAGCGGCGTACGCTCGCTAGTCCTAACACACCAATAGAAATAGGGAGGAAGAGTGAATGCTCTTACGATAGTAGCCGCTCTAAAGGTGGACGCCACGACGGTGGCGGTGGCGGCGGCGGTGGCGGCGGCGGAGGCGGCGGCGGTGGTGGTGGTGGTTGTAATGGTAATGGTGGTGGGTGTCGCCGTGACCGTCGTCAGCGTTAGCGTCGGCGTCAGCGGCGTCGATGCCACTGGCGAGGAGGACACGGACGCTGGCGCGAAGAAGCAGTGGCAGCAGCGAAAGTCGAGTTGCCACTGGCAGCGGCCGTAGCTAGGCAGCCGGAGGAGGCAGGGCGACCTAGCGCCTTAAATTGATGTTGTTGCAAACGATCGATCACTAACAGCCCGATAGGCGTAGGCTGAAGGAGCACGCAATAACCAGGCAGCTCCAACAACGAGATTCCAGCGATCGTTCTGTCGCTCTCGTCCTAAAGTCGGCACTCCTGCACGCTTGACATTTTCGTCACTGATGCCTATGGCATTGAGAGCGGCTCTGCTTTAAAGTTAATGGTGGGCGCCGTCCTCTATTTCGGGCAGGATGAATGTATCAATGCCTGGCACGATACGCAGAATGGTTCGAACTAAGTAACGAGAGGCGAATTTACCTGGATAATGCTATGACCAATGGTTGGTTTGTTGATCGAAAGCGACCCTTTTAGAGTGCTGTCCGATTGCTTGTTGTCTTCGTGCTTTGTAATAAAATATGAGATACTTTATATGGGGAGAAGATAGGCAGAGCTGGCTTCAAACAAGGTGATTCTTTTACCTATTGATCTTTACTTTATTGATGAGTAGCTGTCGAGTGGCTGATTAATGATCGAGCCCGGCTCCGGGGTAGCCCAGTTAGAGGGTATGAGTTTTCCCCCTTTAGTTGATCTCTGAAGGGTGCAGCAAATAAATTTAGCTCTACGTTTGTTCAATCGTAGGGAAAATGAGGCTTCGTTGAAGGAAGTTCCGGCAAAATAGTCTCACTATTGTAGGTGCCAGTAGAGATGTACCGCACTGATGATCTGATGCATGATGCGCTTCACGGACATAGATTGCGTGTTGGTCAGGCCAAACACTGTTTTATTTCACAGCTGGCCGTGATAGCTTAATTTCGACGATCACCCTTCGACAATGCCAGCTCGACTCGGTCAGTACTCAACCAATTATGCGATAGTGGCTGGCTAGTACGATATCAGAAACATGCAACATGTTCGCAAGCGACAACTAATTTTAGAAACATTAGAACTTAGAGGAATATATTCCTTTGGGTTAACAGCTTGAACTGGAGATTCGGCAAAAGCTACTAATTGAGAAGGAATTACGCGAACTGCGGCGCGAGGGTCGCAAATGACACCTGTGGCTGCTGGCTTATGACTCAGTTGTAGCGACCGGCGGACGGCCACAACACGAGATAAACACGCAGTCACTGCTGACTATAGAACGACGAAAACAAACAGAGCGAACATGTGAAGCAGTGGCCTCAGTGGTTCCTCGAACTTCGATAACGTATTATAGTAGTAGTATTTGAAGGCTGTAACGTTTCTCTCTAGTTACGGCGGCGCCATTGAAAATCCGCCTTACAACCGTTTCGGAGTGCTCGTTCAGCTTCATTTCGTCTGTCGCAACATTTCTTACACGTTTCTCGCCATAGCAGCACTCACAGATAACGCGATAGGGATATGTGTGTTAGCTGAACGTAAGCGTTGGATTGCCCTGAGGTGGGTAGACGACGTCGTAGGAAGGTAAGCGGTTAGTTGTTAATGTAGACAACGACGGGTGCCGGATGACCTGGCTAAAATGCCTGGCGGCTGGCAACCCGCCGGCAGGATCACGCAACGCAGGCAACAACTTCTACCAGCACTAGGCAGGCTATCCTCTTTTATAGGAGGGGAAGGGCTTTGAGCAAGGGTGTAAGTGACGTCAGGGGGTAAAGGGGAGGAGCCTGCGCTACTGCCACTCTGCCATCGCGCACTAGGCGCCGGCACAGTCGGACTCGAGTTGGCGGTGCGTCGAACGGAGTCGACCCAAGCGAATTCCCGCACTGAACGAAGTCGAGGTCGAGTTTTCGGGTTCATGTTATGGCTGAAGCAACGAGGGAGGCGAGATGAAGCAAGGCGCACGCTATGGACGTCTGCTGGAACAAAGACGAAATAAGAGGTACCGGCAGAGCAGCGACAGTCACATATCGATAGAGTAACTAAAGGACCCAACCGATTGACCAAGCGATCCTCGACAGTCGCCGTACTGGTTCAGCCCCTGGCGTTTTAAAGAAAGAAAATGGAAAGGATGCGGAAAACCTGTATGACAGTAATATTCACTAGGAAGACGCAAATGAAACACAATGAAAGATCGGACACCGGCCAGACGGCCGTTAGAGCCGCGGCGGCGGCGACAGCCAGCCCTGCTATGGCAGTATCAGCGACAGAGGCTGTGGTCATCTCTTGGCAGATGTATTTAAGTAGTAATGGTACTATAATAATAATGATTATTAATTGGATTTGGTGTGAGCGGGAACGCTACGTAGTTATTGACAGGGAACCCATGAAGGCCAAGACGGTGGGACAAGGCGGGATTGACTCCTTAGAATTCGTTTGTTCGATACAACCCGAAGATGATGAGAGAGCAACAGGTGGGTGGAGGACTCCAATGTACGAAAATAGAGAAAGATAAAGGGACGACGAAGATAACATTAGAACACATGCACGCGCGTCACGACAATGAGATACAACGATGTAGGGAAAGAGACAAGCGGGAGAATACAACACGCCACCAAGCCACGACAGCCGGAGGGTTGTAAGGAGCGGGGGGCGGGGTCATCTCTTTCTCGTGCTACCTGCCCTTCCTATTTATCGATGTATCTCCATTTTGATGGTTCTATTTATTTATATTTACTGCCTCTTCTTTGAGCGTATAGGAGGAGCAGTTGTAATGTCAGGTGTGTGCTTGGTTAGGTGGAGTTGGGGCGGGGGCGATCGCATCAGGGCGTGGCTTTCCTGAGAGAGGGAAAACACACCCCCACGTTAGGGGTGGCAAACACTTTTGCATCGAGCGGCGCGCGTCCGACGCGATGTCGCGCTCCTTCTAAAGCTGCCGCTGTAGGCGCCAATGGCTCCGGCGCGCAAGGCAGATGAGCATCGGGCACAGCAAAAGTCGAGGAGCGAACAGCAACAGGGAGAATAAGGACAGGAGCAATCGAAAAGGAAAGAGAACTCTGGAGACCTAGAAACTTACGAAATGAGAAGAGATATTGAAGCACTTGAAAAAAGCAACTAGGGATAAAAATATCAGTCAGCACAGGGGCGGCGAGGCAAAAAACGCCATTACCATTACAGATCTGCAACACACATTAAGCTAGCAATGACGAGCAACAAAGAAAGAGTAGACTAACGAGATACCGCGACTCCGAGAGATGCTATTCCAATTAGAATATCTGAGTGGAACGTTTACCCAAGAACAGAAGAAAAAGGGTAAAAATAAAGGCCAGAGAAGCTAGAAAGCGTTGTTTGCAGTCCGTTTAAGTTGTTAAGAGAAAAAGGTGAAGGCAGAAATTGGATAACTCGTCATGACAACAAATGGTAACTGCGATATGGCTATAAAAAGTAGATTCGGCGGAGAAATATCAATTGTATGTTAAGAAAAATGGTAATGAGATAGCGAGAAAGGTAAACCACAAAGAGCACAAGAATAGGGAAGGAGTAAGGGATTAAAGAAGGAAGTTAAGCTTTAGTACTTATCGCTAGTACTATTATTGCAGTGGGTGGAATGGGAAACGGAAAATGCGTTAAAAGGTCAACTTAGAGTTGGATGCTGGGGTGTGTTAGTTAGGGGGACCGTTAATTGAAGTGCACTCGCGAAAGATATATTGCGCGACAAGTACGATAATAACAACGATAAGACAATAAATCGATCCAGCCGGTGCGTTGTAGACCCATAACTGACTAATTATTTCAGCAAACTAAGTTTGGATGCTATGAGCGTCGGGGTAGCTGGCCATGCGAAGTTCACGCTGTAATCGGTGACGAATACTGGTCCACGTGGATATAAATGGCATTTAGCCATTAAACAGCAGACGAAAATAGAACAAGATCTAAAAGAAGGAAACGGTGCAGGATGTACGAGCATGTTTACTTTATGAGCTTGCCTTCAGTTCCTAAAAGGCATACGTGTTGGTTGACGACCACATAGAAACGCTTCAGGGTTGTACCCAGAAAGTGTTATTTTAGACGCAACAATTAACCATACTCCTCCAAGTAAAACCAAAGCAGAGTAATGGTCGTCTGCAACGTTAAAGAAGGAGAAACTTGTGGTAAACAACTGTGTATTTCTTTCAACATAAACTGTGACACCAGTTTTTGATAAGGATACATCGACATTATTGATTTAATTTAAAAGTGCACTCAACTTCAAAGAATTATGGAGTCACACATAGACAGTACAGAAATACGTACGTTTTGGCATAAGATACCTCTTACATTCGATATAATATACACCCTGTTACGATGTTTTGTCCGGAAAATTTCGGCCTTGACTTCCGGTCTCTGCCATACTTAAAGTGTATCTCTTCGAAAAATCACAGGGCCTTAACTGATGGGCTCCGAGTTGAAGTGCCAACGAAAGGCCAGTCTGCCACCGTACATATAAAATCGCCAATGGACCATTTAAACACATTATAAATTGCTTTATAGACGTAGAAATCCTTTACGTTAAGGATTTCATGTACAGCGCCTAACTTACGAAACTCGATGTTGCATACGCTCGCATCGTGTCGCCTATTATTTTTGTAACTGCGTGGCAGATGCCGTTCCGAGCATCTATGTAAAAAAGCCCTTACAAAAGTACGATGCGCAATGCTGTAAAACGCGAATAGGCAAGTCAATACGACGCAAACGCCTTGCGATGGCTACACATATCCTTACTGTTATCAGATCTAGTTGGTTGGACCATTATGTCCTCCTGAATTGCAACTCTACCAGGCAACAAAGCGGAGCTGGTGAACTTTAAAGATACAGTA